AGAGAGAGAGAGAGAGAGAGAGAGAGAGAGAGAGAGAGAGAGAGAGAAATTAATGGCCCAGGCTTACTGCCTTTAAAATTTAAAAAATAATAATAGTAACCATGTCCTGGCCTTGCAGTTTTTAATGAAAAGTAAATATTAAAATTATGATTTTGCCTCTTTACTTATCTCTATTTCTTCTATCCTACATTATTTTCCTTTTGGTATAATGAGGTCATCCTTCACATGGCAATTTCATCTTCTGTGTGTCTGCTATCAGTTTTTTTTTTGGGTCCTGGAGATTGTTTCAGGGATCTTTCCTAGTTCTTGGTATACAGAATGAAGATTTCGACAAGCCTCTTGAAAAAGGCAGTGGGGATTTATTTACATTTATTAAAGGTGGGTAAAGAAGTATGCTCTGCAGAGAGAAAGCAGGGCACTGAGAGAAGCTCACAGTGACTATGAAATTAATGGTGGGGATTTTTGTCAGATGTGGGCTGTCTTATCAAAAATCTGTTTGATTCTGTGCCAGATGGAAATTAAGAATTGAAAATAGCACTTTCTGATTGGTCCCAGGTGTTCTGTCCATGTATTCTTGGTCTCTGTGATCGACAGGTCAAAAACACTTGGTCATCCAGTTTACCCTACCTTAACCTCCTACTTCATGCCTTTCTTTTTGATAGAGAAAATTAAACTCTTGTTTTATAAAATTTTAAATTTTCATTTGCCCTTACAGATGTCTTTAACTCACCAATCTGGCTGCTTTTTGTAATTATTTGGGGTATTGTAGAGAGTAGAATGCACTACATTAAAAACTGCGTAACACCATTCCCCACACAAAACAGAGCAGACCAGGATGATGTAACTGAACAAAATATTGCAACCCCAATAATGGAGTGGAAAGTCAGGTTTTTTACCCAAAAGAGTAAGAGTGATATCTAACCCAACAGATCACCCTATGACGACGCGTGTAACCCTGTTATCTAAATTCAATGTGTGAAACCCTATGACGTGTGCAGCCCCAATATCTACTCAAACAGTCCCAATATGTGTGAAGTGATAAAACCCGAACCAGTGCCACAGACCCCCAGTTAGAATGGTATAAAAGAGAGAGCGCAGAAGACCAGCTTGTCCCACTCGTGACCGATCCAGCTCGATGGCAAGCTGCCAGACGAGATCTTGGAGGAGTCCTCAGTGGAGATATCTGCCGCCTGCCCGGAGTGGACCCCTGGATCGAGGAGGAGGAAACCGGATGGAACACCGCAATCATCAGGAAAGGAGAAACAAAGTCGGACTCCTCGGACTTGTGCAGGTACAGGGAGTGGCAACTGGCGGGTATTAATTAATATGTTTGATGTGTGACATATATATATATATATATAAAGCTAGTTGGCAACTACTACTGTCTCGACCTCCAGTTAGGGCACACTCCTGCTCGCGACAGGTATTTTAAAAACAAACTAAGATTTGGTGTCTGATTTCAGTGATTTGTGCCTCGCCACCGAGATGTGCAAAAGTTGCCGTGGTGCTCTTCCCTGCAGGTTTTGCACTTTGCCATTTTATCAGTGAAGCTCTTGGGCCCTAGTACGGTAGAGGTCAGCAATGGGTGACTGAGACCACACGTGACCGTCTGGGGTCAGAACGTTAGTCCCTTTGGTCCCAATCAAGCCGTCTGACTTCCGGGCGCTCCCCCCC